TGAAGAAGGTGCCTGCTTCCCCTTTGTCTTCCACCATAATTATAAGTTTCCTTACAATCAGGAGAACTGTGAGTCAACTAAATCTCTTTCCTTTATAAATTACCCAGGCTTGAGCAGTTCTTTATAGCAGTATGAGAATGGACGTGGTTTAAAGCAAGCTTGTCCAACCCGCAGCCCAAGGGTCACATGCAGCCTAGGACGGCTTTGAATGTGACCCAACACAAATTTATAAACTTTCATAACACATTATGAGATTTTTTGTGATTTTTTTTTAGCTCGTGAGTTATCCTTAGTCTTAGTGTATTGTATATGTGACCCAAGACAATTCTTCGTCTTCCAGTGGCCCAGGGAAGCCAAAAGATTGTACGCCCCTGATTTGGAGTAAAGAAGAATTAAAGAACATGATAGCTATAGTACTTAGCATGTTTTCAATTACAAGTAAAATAATAACCCATCAAACTGTTTTCAGCAACAAAGATAATTTATGGGTTCTTATAACTTAAAACTTAAAGAGTATGTTGTATTTTAGGTGAGGCTCAATTCAGTGGCCTGGTTAATCTTTCTCTCTACTTTGCTTTCTATAATGTTGGCCAAAATTGGCTGCCACTGTCTCCTTCTTTGGGACAATTTAGCTGCTGGTTTACTCGCAGTAATCAGAGCTACGTGCTGCTTCTTTCATATCAAGCAAGTGTTAGAAAAACCTTCTTTCCCCAGAAGCTTGCTGGAAAAAAGAAGAATCTTCTTTCCCCTGACCCCAGGAAGTATCTCTTGTATCTCACTGGCTAGAGTTGTGACTTTTGCCAATTTCTGAACCAATTATAGTGGGCCATTCGGATAATGGACACAAAGTAGTGTAGCTAATCAAAAATCTACCTCTTGAGCAGAGATATTGTATCTGTCAGACTACTAGGAGAAACAGAATCAATAGGAAGTAGATAAATGCATATATATCACATATATATATATATATATATGATATCTTATTACATGAAGAAATTTATTTCAAGGAGTTGACTCACCTGATTGCGGAGTCTGACATATGTGAAATCTGTAGGACAGTCTAGTAGGCTGGAAACTATCTGGTAGAAGCTGATGTCGTGGTCTTGAGGCAGAATTTTCTTCTTCCTCTGGGAAACTTCAGGGCTTTCAGCTGATTGGATGAGGCATATCTACATTATTAAGGATAATTGCCTTTAATTAAAGTCAGCTGATTGTAGATATTACACATATTTACAAAATACACATAAATTAGGGTCTGATTAAATAACTGGGCATGAAAGCTTAGCCAAGTTGATGTATAAACTATCATGGATATGATCAATCTTTCCCAAAATATTTAACTGAAATTATGAGTTCCTTTTGGAATTGACAGATTGGAAACTAAGGTAGCCAACAAATATCCTTTACAGTAGCTAACAGTACATGTATGAACAGCTGCTCTGGGAAATAGGTTTTCAACTTGCTTGACATAGGGGAATACTAGGGACAAAAGTTATAGAAGTAGTGATAAAATAGCTATCAAGTAAAAAAGAACTGTTTAACAAAACAGTAGTGAGTTCCTGTTACTGAAAATGTTCAAATGTGAACTAAGGACCGTGGTGTAACACCCCAGATTAAGGCCCAGTTATTATGTGTTCCTTAACTTTTGGGGAAAGTACTGTTTTACTTAAGTGGAGTTCACTAGAAAACAGGCATAATTTTATTTTACTCTTATATTAATATCAAATAGTACCTGAGATATTATGTCTGCCAGGATTCTCCAGAACAAGTAGTATGTACGCACACACACACTATGTATATATATGTGTTTGTGCATATATATGTACTCTCCACATTTTATATGTGTGCATATATATATACACACACACCTATATGTGTATATATGTGTGTAAACATATATGTGTGTGTGTGTATATATAGAGAGAGATAGAGACAATGCGTGTGTGTGTGTGTATGTGTGTGTATAAGGCATTTTATTTGTAAATATGTATTACATGTCTAGAAAAAGAATCCCAGGATTTTCCTCTGTGTGTTTTCTTCTTGCTTCATCATGGTCCATGAGGCTAGCTGAGGTTGTCGTTACAATGGAACCAAACTGGCAGGATGGAAGCAGATTATTCTGCCATTTTTCTAGATCTTTGAGTTGTACATCAAATCTGTGGCTGATCACTCCACACTTGTTTAGTGATGAGGGATCACCTCACACTTGTTTAGCCTGCCTGTGAGGTTCACAACAATTTTCCCAGCATTATGATCATCAGTGATTTCAAATTCGCCAATGTAATCATGCTTCATCATCACAGTGAGAAACCGGACAATAACTTTGGAACTCAGCCTAATAAGAACCTGGTGTTTGCCTCTCTGTCTGGCATTGTTGATGCTCTTGAGAGCATCAGCCAGGACACCCATGTGCACCATTGTGGTGGTGTGGAAGGAGCTATAATTTATGTTTTTAGTATATATAAAGAAATTAATTTTTCCTCAAATAGCCTAGCCACGAGTTCCTCTCCCCACTATATTCTTGCAGATAAAGTTACCTAGCCAAACAACCCTTTCCATCAAAGGGATCAGGCATAATTTTTGCTTATCCCTCATTAGCAGGTTCAATTCCTGCCAGCTCAAGGGATTATCCAAACAAACCAATCACATTCTTCTGGGAACTAGGGGGCAACCCAACCTCTTAAAATCTGCTGCTCACAGCCCCTGGTTTTCCACTCTCTTCCTGAGTGCAACCCCTTTGTGACCCTGTATGGCAAGTAATGGCTTCTTCCCTTTGGCTGGGAGGGGAATATATGTGATTAATAAACTTTTGACTCAGAAGACTTGCATGCAGCCAACAAACCGTATGGAAAAAAACTCAACACCACTGATCATTAGAGAAATGCAAATCAAAACCACAAATGAGATACCACCGCACACCATTCAGAATGGCTATTATTTAAAAGTCAAAGAATAACAGATGCTGGCGAGGTTGCAGAGAAAAAGGAATGCTTATACACTGTTAGTGGAAGTGTAAATTAGTTCAACTATTGTGGAAGACAGTGTAATGATTCCTCAAAGACCTAAAGTCAGAAATACCATTCAACCCAGCAATCCCACCACTGGTATATACCCAAAGAAGTGTAAATTGTTGTATTATAAAGACACATGTGCACATATGTTCATTGCAGCATTATTCACAATAACAAAACATGGAATCGACCTAAATGTCCATCAGTGGTAGACTGGATAAAGAAATGTGGTACATCTACACCATGCAATACTAAGCAGCCATAAAACAGAATGAGAACATGTCCTTTGCAGGAACATGGATGGAGCTGTAGGCCATTATCCTTAGCAAACTAACGCAGGAACAGAAAACCAAATACCACATGCTCGTGGTTTTAAGTGAGAACTAAATGATGAACACACATGGACACATAGAGGGGAACAACACACACTGGGGCCTGCCAGAGTGGAGAGGGTGGGAGGAAGGAGAGGATCAGGAAAAATAATTAATGGATACTAGGCTTAATACCTGGATAATGAAATAACCTGTACAACAAACCCCCATGATACAAGTTTACCTATATAACAAACCTGCACATATACCCCGAACTTAAAAGTTAAATAAAATTAAACAAATAAATAAAATAAAACAAACTTTTGTTTCTTCTGGCCAGTGTTGGGTCAAATGAAATCCTGTGTTTGCCCATCTTCACAGACTTAGAATTGGAAGCCCTCTCTCACCAATGGTATATACAGGAGGTAGTTAAAACAATGACTTTCCTTTCTGTCCACTCACCTAGCAGTGATGTTGGATTTGGGAAAAATTCAAATATCAGTTATGTGATAGTAATAATTGACTTGGGAGTTGCCTTTCAATAGCAGTATTCTGTTATTTCTGTGTTTCCAGTGCTAGTATTAGCATTTTTATTTTCCAAATAAGAACAGGGCAATTTGTTCATCATTCTGTTAGTGGCACCCATCAGAGTATTTTGTAAACTGTTTGTACGTCTTTTCCTCTCAGCTCAAAGCACAGAAAGTCATGCTTTATTAATCTTTATGTACACTCCAAATAACATCATGCCTGACCCATAGCAGATATTCAATTACTTTCTCCATCGGAATTTTATTAAAAAATTACTATTGAGCTGTGAAGTTCACCTCAAACAACATACATATAAGTAAATATCATCAATGTAAATTATCCAACACTGTTGAAATCCAAACTCACTCTACCCACCTTTAGACAGAAGGAATGACGTCTTGAGAGTATTGCCCAATTTTCTCTTCTCATTCACCTTCCAAAATGCATGCTAGTTGCCTTAAGGCTTCTAAAGAACCCTGAAGGCAGCATCTCACTTTGTGTAGGAAGAATTAGTATAGCTGCGAGGTGATCCCAACTCCTGCCTGTCTGTTGGTTCTGAATGCTCCATTCACTTCAGAATCCCTGCTGAGAGATAATCCCTTCTGCAAGAAGGCATTTATTTTAGTCACAGTTTCATTCCTCAAGTTTATAGCTGCATAGCACCATATTCTAAATTACAGGAAAAACATGGAGAAAGCTAAAATGATTGGTTTGAACATATTTGACATCTTTTTTATGATTTATATTATATTATTTACTGTATTTAAATTGGCTTACTTGTTATTTTTTTGATAGAATGACATATGCTTCTTTCTCTACCCATAGATGTAAGAATTTTTTAAGAAAATATGAAAGACCTGGTTTGACAAAGGAATTTTTCTAACTTATGAATATATTGTATCCCTTCACAAAGATACACAATAAATTGTGTTTATCAGCAGTAATAAAATTCCATTAAACTAGCTCTGGTGTTTGAGACCGAAGATGTATAGTTTCCATATCCATGTCTTTATATAACACTAAGCACTCGGTAAATATATATTAGTTAAATAATGTAATAATAGAATGTGCTCCCTTCCATTGATCATAGACTTTAGAAAGACTTTTATCTAACAGAAGTGTTTTCTCTATCTCCTGGGTTTACTCACAGTAAACAAATCCGAGCTGTGCTGGGCCAGTTCAGCCAGGCAGAAGCCTTATTAATGAAAGCTGGGGTGCAGCCAGGAACTTTTGATGGAGTTCTTATGGATCTTGGGTGTTCCTCCATGCAACTTGATACTCCTGAAAGAGGTTTTTCCCTTCGGAAAGACGGCCCCTTGGACATGAGAATGGATGGTGGCAGGTGAGTATTCATAAAGCACTTCTCACAACAAGAAATCAATTTGTCAAAAACACTCTGAATTTATTTTTTTTAAGACTACAGAATTTCCATTACATGCCTACACCTAAAACTACCAATACATAATAAACCAGTTTGTTTGATACTCATTATACACATCAGTATTTCTCTGGATTTAGGATTTTTAAAGAAAAACAATTACTGCCTTTACACAAAATAGTGAAGAGTATAACTTTCATACTGATTATCTTTTTTACTTATACAATATGGGTTTTAGAGTGTTAACCACTGTCAGTAAATATCACGATACTGCAATAACTATTTCATTTTTATTCATGCCCAACTATGCCTCTTGTGAGAAGCAAAAAGAACTATATATATTTAAGGCATCCTCTTTTAGAATACAAAAAAAAAAAAAAAAGGCAAGATCTTAGAGTCAGTAAGTGTGTTTTGTCCTGTCTTATACAATCACTTTGAACCTTCTCCAGAAAAACTGTAATTTATGATATGATATCAAACACAGTACTATAATAAGATATCCTCTATACTTCCTCTTCCTGGAAATACCAACATTTATTCTCCATTATTCAAATAGATTAAATAACACAAAAACAATCATATTCTGGGAAAGTATAGAAAAAATTATTTTCTTTCTTTCTTTCTTTCTTTCTTTCTTTCTTTCTTTCTTTCTTTCTTTCCTTTCTTCTCATTCTGTCACCCAGGCTGGAGTGCAGTGGCATGATCTCAACTCACTGCAACCTCCACCTCCCGAGTTTAAGCCATTCTCATGCCTCGGCCTCCTGAGTAGCTGGGATTACAGACATGTACCACTATGCCTGGCTAATTATTTTTGTATTAGTAGAGACGAATTTTCATCATATTGTCCAGGCTGGTCTCGAACTCCTGACTTCATGTGATCCACCTGCCTCAGCCTCCCAAAGTGCTGGGATTATAGGCATGAGCCACCATTACCAGCCAACAATTTCTTTATATTAATTGTCTAAATTAATGTTAAAAGCTTAGATTAGGACCTGTGTCTATTCTCAATACTGACCTAGGGAATGGACAGCCTATACCTGTAAAACTTAACTGTGGTTTTTCTCTCTCATATCATGCCCCACCACAAACTGCTTTGTTTTGTGGTAATTATTCACATATAGCCTTTTCCCCTATGTTGTGATACAACCTGTTAACTTGGCTTGTGACCTATATTTGTTGGGACTCTGTTGTTCCTAAATGTTATACCTTCTTTTGCACATGTTGTTGGCATTCACAGAATGAAGAATGTAATGATAAAAGAAAATAATAAAAATACTTTTAAAACAACTAACTAATAGTAAAAGTGAAATATAGTCTCATGTGTGGAGCTGGAGGTGGTTGTGCAGAGGTAATAAAACATCAAGCCAATTTCTGAAATACAATGAACCAAACTTCTAGTTACTAGTAGTAAATCCCATATTGTTAATTTAAAGACTTATCAGCAAATTGTAGTTTGTGAATCAGGGTCCCTGTGGTTTTCCCAAGAGTTTGGAAATAACGTTGACACTGAGAATTAAACTCTTAAATTAATACCTAATGGATGAAATTAGAATTGAGTAAATATATCTTAAAATGTTGAATGGCTTTCGGGTAGATGGTATAGACTGTAACTTAATCAAAGATTTTAACAGCTCTGAAGAAAGTATTTAACATTTGAAAAGGGGGAGTTGATTCACATGAATTCATTGAAGAAGAAAAGTCATAGATTCAAACACGTGCAATGCTAATCCAAGTGGTATATGTTTGCCTTGGCTAATCCAGGCCAAAAAAATATGGCCTGTTAGTTCCTGAAGGGAGATTATCCCTGTGATGAAGACAGATGCAAGAGGCTTCCTTAACCAGTTGTCATTTAACACTGGAGTCTTAAAAAACATAATTTATTCTTTGCTGATTCTAATTTCAACAGCAGCATTCAGATTATAGTAAGGTTTCTCATGTAGAAGCCATAGAAAGAAATTCATAGCTTCAAGAATTTGAGAGTCTAGTTCTGTTGGCAGTTATAGTCTTCACTAGAAGGTAATTAATTATCACTTGTGTTTATATTTTCTTTCTAAGTTTAGTCACTGTAAGTCAGTGAACTCTGGAGGACTGACAAGATCAAATCTATTAGTTGGGGGGCAGCTCTTGGATCTTGACTCGTTTACCACATGAATGCCTATTCTGAAGCTGCCTAGCAGCCTGCCAAACCTTCCAGTGTTGCACCTTTTGCACTGTAGCACTATGGAAACTTCTACACCATCAATCATTGTTAATATAAGAGTAAAATAAAATTATGTGTATTGTCCAATTACTTGTTTAAAGTAAAATTATGTGTATGGAACAAAATGCTTTTTAATTTTCTTATTTAAAGATAGAAAAATATCATTAAAAACTGCTAAGTACATCTATACTCATCATAAAATTCTCTTGGTAAAGCTGGACTGTATCCCATGGATAAATTTCTAAATTTCACTTCATTAACACAGTTCATTCAGATGCTCGCTGGTTTAAGCAGTTGAATTCACAAATAGGTCAGGTTTAGCAGGGATTTTGTCATTTAAGCCACAAATTATGCTTTGCAAATTTATGAATGGGGAAGATCTAAAGGACAGTGGCATGCATTGAGCATCTTTTATATTGTAGGCATTATATTTCTGTTTTGCAATTGCGTGCACCAATAATTATCCAAACCATTCTGTGAGTTAAGAATTGTTACTTTCATTTCACAGGTTAAAAATTGAGGCTCTAATAGGTTAAAAATCTTACTCAATATGAGTAAAAAGGCCAGGATTCTAATCCAGATCAATTGAACTCCAAAAACCAGATCTTCATCCTGAAAGCTGAAGAAGCAAAGCCTACTGAGATAGAAATAGGGCTACCTTATAAGACGTTCATTGTTCTGTGAGTTTAATGGCAGACTGACATAAAAACAATTATTGTAAGCTATTTGGGAGGCTGAGGCAGGAGAATCGCTTGAACCCAGGAAGCGGAGGTTGCAATGAGCCAAGATCCACCATTACACTCCAGCCTGAGCAACAAGAGCGAAATTCCGTCTCAAAAAAAAAAAAAAAGAAAAAAAAAATCTGAAAAGCGAGCTATGGATGAAAAAAAGAGACAAAGAGACATCAGAAGAGATGAAAGTCATGACAAATCTAGGGACAAGCCAAAGACAGCAAAAAGATTTTCTCCTGGAGGCACTAGGCATGTTAACAATGTGTATTTTAGTATTTTTAAGGAGAGTTTCAGGTGTTTCTTGGCAGCCCCACTCTGGTTGGACCCTCAGTTCTTAAAGCTACCATACCGTTGTTACTTACAGATCCTCACAGTATGTTACCAACAATCTATCCAACATATTAACTGTAAGAGCAGTAACTGCACCATTAGCAAAGCTATTTTTCTAATATGTAAGGTCACAATTAGCTCATCACTTAGAATTCTTTGGCCCATTTCCCTAAGGTACACAGGAATGGCCTGAACAGAGTAAATGCTGTGTCTGACTATAATTTATTCTATTTGACCAGAGGTTGGTAATTTTTATTCCTCCTCCACCTAAAATTACTATCTAGGCTTGTTCAATACTGCTTATTGATTACCTAGTTTTGTCATATTGTGACCTTTGTTATGGATGAATGACCAAATATTGTTAAACATTTGAATAATATGCATTATTGCCATTAAGGTTGTATGAGTTTTTGTGAGGGAAACTGACCAGCAGTATCTTTTTTTTAAATAGATTTTCTAAGTTTAATTTGTGTCTTCACAGGTAATCAGATATTTTACAGCCTCAGATTTAGTCAAGTTATTGAGATTTAGCCTTGTTTAAATATCATCTGCAAACCTTCTATCTTCTATACTGAAAAAAACATTCAAGCAGTAATTTAAATTTTGAACAACTTAAATTTAACCATTTTTCAGTGTTTTAGTTCAAGAAAAATACACAGGAACAATAAACATTTCTTTGTGAATTATAAGTTTAAGGTTATTATAATATTTTAACTTCCTGCTGCCTTGACCTTGATGAATGTTACAAACCATCACCATTTGCCATAATGATGGGTATTTGAAATAGAAAGTCTATTTCATTTGTTTAGTGTTTCAGTCTCTGACTTTAAAACCTCAGTTCTCCTAGACTATGTGTATATGTCTGACTTTATGTCTCAGTACTCTGAAGTTTCACCTCTTGTCAATGAAAACTGACGTCAGTGAACTAATTGGCTCTTCTTGTGCGTAGGTACCCTGACATGCCCACTGCTGCTGATGTTGTGAATGCTTTAGATCAACCGGCACTTGCATCTATCCTAAGAACATATGGGGAGGAGAAGCATGCCAAGAAAATCGCTTCAGCAATTGTTCAGGCACGCAGCATCTACCCCATCACCAGAACCCAGCAGCTTGCCAGCATCGTTGCAGGTAGCCTCATTAGTTCTCGACAGTGTCTAAGAGAAAAAATTATATTTACGTGTGTGCATGTGTTTGTGTGTGTGCACTCATGCACATGTGTGTGTGCATTAATCCCCCAAACTCCCAGAGGGGTTCATTTGTACTTGAAATCATGCAGGATAGAATCTTGCCTGTCTTTCTTTAATGTCAGCTTTCTTTTGCTTGTGCAAGCTTCTCCCCTTCAAAACCTCTCCCCCAAATACAATTTTTAAAAAAAGTATACTGTAGTTTACTAATTTGTATAATAGTAGATTTTTATTTTACACAAGATAATTTATCATTTGTGCCTACCAAGGTGAAACATGAAATGATGAGTGAAAGGATTTCTTGATCCATCTCAATGGTTGATAAGCACCCTGTATAAGATCTGACATTACTTCTCTTAGTTTCACATTTCTGCATTTTAATATTGTGGGCAAAAGGAGAATTGCATTGCCCAAATGCTAAAATAAAATCCAGTGACTCATATATCTATTCCAAACAACCAACTAACAAAGGGTATATGATGTATAGGTTATTCCACTTTGTGAATGCTAACTAAATCAGCCTGAGGGGCTTATTGAAACATTTCATCTTTTCTGCTATTTCGCTATTCACCACCATAAACCTCTTGAACCTAACTCTAGCTAGGAGGCGCTTTATTATAGCCTTTGTGTTTGAAGCCAAAGTTGTTTCACAGCTGTGTTCCATGATGAAAGTTTTCCAAGGCAAAAATACAACTCCTGCAGTTATTTAACAGAATTCCAATGATAAATTCTTCGTCTTGTTGGACCGTCTGAAACCCTGTATCATTTTTATTTACCAAATGTATTAAGATTTGTTTCCAGTGATTCCTATTAAATTACTTAAGTAAATTTTAAGAAGTTTTTTAAAAAGGAATATTTGTGTAACTTATAAATAGAACCTGATATTGGCTGTCTCTTTCTTAATATTATCCATAGTTTAAAAAGTAAAACTTAATTATAAATTCATTTAGATCTTTAGTATTTACAGATCATGTAGCAATTGTTTTATGATATAATTAAATAAGACTATATTCTACCTAGTTATCGTAATGAAATATAAAGAGCTGTCTAGCCTTTAATTTTTTAAGCCACATATCTCAGGGCCCTTCGAACTTACTATTGAGATTTCTTTATGCAAGTTTAAGAGGAGAATTCTTGTGGTTATATGAACATAAAATATTTCATTTCTTCCCCTCTGAAAGAGTTTATACCAGCATGCTGATATTAAATTCATCTTCTGTCTGGTGTTCCTTTAACCACTCCGTACTCACTATTATGTCTCCACCGTATCCTTTCTGTAATTCTTTACCTACGTATTATTTTCTGTCTCCTGTACTGGAAAGAAAAGCAGTGAGAAGTGATACTTTTTATTTATAAGCAAATCTAAAATTCATGCTAAAAATGAGGGGTTGGGGCTGGAGAGCATCCTAGAAATTATCTAGTCAGAAAACCTCTTCTGATTAATAAGGAAACTGAGGCTCAGGGAGTAGTTTGCAATAGTAATCTAGAATTTGGAAGCTCATGAATTTGAGGCATAACTGGGAATCTGCCTTCAAGCTACCTTTTCTGTCTGTGCATCCTACCTTGTAAACTTGCAGAAATAACACTTTGGCATTAAGTAGAAATTATGTGAAGGTGCACAATAGGAACAATGTGAGTACTTTCAGAAAGATTATGATATGAAAAGCATATTAGAGCTATGAGAAATGATACAGTAAAAGTGAAAATACTCATATATGGTAAATAAAACCTCATTTTAGTAAGTGCCATTAAAACACTGAGTTATCTGGAACTAGTCCATTTTTATATCATAAATATCAGTCTGTAATAATACAACTTTGTTAATGATAATATGATTTTTTTGGAAAAGGGAAAAACAAAAATGTGTTTTCATTTTGTGCTCATTTATTCAAAAAATATTTTGAGAGAGGCTGATTTATACTAGGCACTATCCTAAACACTAAAATTAAAGTAGGAGCTAATCAGATATAACCTCTGTGTTTACAAAGTTTATAGACTAATAGATTATACAGTCAGGGAACTGAATGAAAACATCATGTAATAACCTGTACTTACAGTGAAAATTCTCTTTCCTATTTATTGTAATGAAGAGTTGTGATAGTATGGTCAATAGAAAATTTGATAAAAGCAGAGATTTATAGAACCTATACAAATCTACATATATTTGTATGCTTGGGTTTTAATTGCAGTTCCACAAAATTCATTCTTAACAAACCACACCCATGGCATATGTCCTGTAAGTTCTGGTTATAGTTTTAGTAAAATGAAGTAAGACTTGAAAGGCATTTGCAAATCCATCTGAATGAGAAGTTTTTCTAGATTTTCATGATTTCATTTTAGTCTTTTACAATTGCCTCACTCATACCTAATTTGATTGAATTTTTTTAAGTGATTCACCTTTAACAAGAGTTTCCAAAGTTTCCAACTTAGTTTTCTTGGACACTGCAGCTATCTTTCCTTTTGCATTCATATTTCCTCAGTTTATGTAATATGTAATTAAATTATGTAATGACAACAGTGAACATTCTGGACTGTAAGTGCACAGCTCTTTTGATGGGACTAGAACTGTATAGAAGTACCAGAGAATCCAAAGAATAGAATCCAACCCTCACACAATTTGTTTAACAGCGAAAAGGGTTAAATCTGTCAAGTCCAATAAATCAAGAGGTACTACATAAAGAAAATATGAGATGTAATTGGAAGGGCACAGGTTCCTGTATGGGTTTCCTAGGGCTGCTGTTACTAAGTACTACAAACTTCATGCCTTAAAGCAACAGAAATTTATTCTTTTACAGTTTTGGAGATGTGAAGTCTGAAATCAAGATGTTAGAAGGGAGCTAGGGGAGAATCCTTCCTTACTATTCCTAGCATCTGGCGGTTGCCAGCAATCCTTGGTGTTCCTTGGCTTGTCACTGTTTCTGCCTCCATAGTCACTTGGCGTTCTCCCTGGGCATCTGTCTTTGTGCCCAGATTTCCCTCTTCTTATAAGAACACCAGTCATGTTGGATTTAGGGCCCACACTTGATCCAGTATATCCTCATCTTAACTTGAAATCATCTGCAAAGACCTTATTTCTAGGTCAGATCACATTTATAGGTTCTGGGTAGAAATGAATTGTGCTGGGTAGACATGAATTGTGGAGGACTCTATAAACCCAGTACAATTCCTAAGCAGTATCTTTGTTTAACAAATATGTATTTTGGCAAGCTATAATATGCAATGACTATATTTAAATGTGTTTTCTGATTCTGATAAATTCATACTAAATATGTTCAAAACTATCAAGCACTCTAGGAAATATGCAGCACAGTTCCTGACATATATTAAAATCCATATCGATGGAAATATAAATCACTTTCTTTGCTTTCCAAAAACTAATAATTCAGTAGGACAAGGAAGAACAACACACTTGGAATCACACCCTCAGTGGGATCCTGTCAGTCACATGATTAAGTTGTAAATTGTAAAATCTAAAGTTTGGTGCCTTTTGCTGGTATAAATAACTACAGTTCCAGTACTCTTCCATATCATGGGAGTTCCAAAAGACAGGTTCAAGGCTCCAAGTTGGAACAGAGCACTTACAAGCATTGTGAATTACTTTGCAAATTATCAAAGCAGTAATTTATAAGCAACTTACAAGAGAATTCCAAAAACAACCTGTAGGATTTCACTGTTCTTACTACCACACATGTTCATACATATACTATTCAGAACTACCAGCCATGAATCTTAATATAAATACTTAACACAAATGCAGTGTTAGATGCAGTGTTCCCTCCAAAAATGATTCATAAATAACAAATCCACATTTTATTAAGCATAATATTTATTCTAATGTTCTAGCTAAAGAGTTGGAGTTGTAAAATCTAAGAGTTGAAAATGGCCTAAGGGACTCATCTAATCCAGAACTAGATTCTTCATCACCTCTAATAAATGGTCATCTAGCTCAAGAGGCTGGCTGCCCATATTTTATATTTGAGCTTTTTCATATTCTAGTGCTCTTTTCATTCTCCGGTTACATCAAGGAAATTACCAGTTAAATGCTAACTAGTTTAATGAAAACATCTTCGTTCCAGTCCTGGTTCTTCAGCTTGCTGTTTGTGTAAACTTGTATAATTTTAGACCTCATCTTTCTCATCTTAAAATGGAGACAAATAATAGTTGTGATAATAATCATTATTTTTCTTTAATAAACATAACCATACCATTTATGTTTTGCTTAAACCAATGTTGAAATTCACTTGTAGTCTCAGAGCTCATGTTAAAAATCAAAGAAGTATACCAATCACTTTTCAGATCATTGAGATTTAGATTAAATAAAAATGAAATAATTGATAAAATAGATAATTGATCTCTAAACAATCAAAAAGTGACCGAAGTCTTATAATATAATTATTTGAATGAGAGAAAAGAGGGGGAGACACTTTTTAGATATTTGTGACTTATATTGATTAATGTATAGATTGATTCCTTTCCCAAAACTTCTGTATAACCTTTATTCTGACTCATGAATTGGGTACATAGCCAGAGCTTAGTGAATGCTTGCTGAAAAATAAATCAATAAGAAGATGCGTACATTCGCAGCCAAAGTAAAAATGAAAATTCAAGGGAACAAATATATAAGTTCTTAGGTGTTATTGAGGATAAACTGTACTTTTTCCTTCACGTTGAAGAGGGAGACAACCTGAGCATCAAAGTCTTCAGTATAAATTAAAACAGCTTGAGGAATAGGTGATACTCTCCAGGATATGGAATCAAAAATTCTCAAGTTTTGTTTCTGGTTGTACCACTTATTTGTTCTGTGAACTTGAGTAAGTTCACTTATCTTCTCTGACCCTCAATTTCCTCATCTGGAAAATAGGAATAACAAATCTTGCTATGACTAATAAATGAGATGGCATATAGGAATGTTATCTGTGAAATTTAAAATGCAAATGTTCTTGT